GTGTGTGTGTGTGTGTGTGTGTGTGTGTGTGTGTGTGTGTGGTTGGGTGGAGCATTCATAAAACTTGAATTTATCCACTGATTATAGTTTTTATTACCCGTTTATATCAACCTCACATTCTGCCATGAAAAGATATTTTTATTGTTTTCAAACTCATTCACAGAAAGCCTTTTTAATCTAGAAATTAGGATTTCTCAATAAATAATAATATTCTGCAATGGACTGCACATGACTAATCCTTACTATTTATTTTTCTCTTGTTATTAGAGTGATGTTTAATCTGTTCACACACTTGTTTTAGTGAAGATGAAGTGCAACCATCACGTTGTTTTGGGCACAGTCAGTAAAACTGGAGCTGTGGACTCTGAACAGAACTTAATGTGGTTTTGTTTTGTCCCCACCTTCACTTACTCCCACCATAAAGCAGCAGCAGGCTGACAGGTAGTAAAACAATAACTGGAGTGATTTTGAATTGTTACTTTTAGAGCTGCACCGATTAGTTGAAATAATCAATGATGTCGATTATGTAAATTTGTCGATGCAGATTTTTTATTATCGATTCGCTGTATTACATAACCACCATGTGAATGTTCATGCAGTTCCATTTCAGTACCTAACTGCATCATTGTGACTGTATTGGCATAAGAGTGGTGAGTTTTCCATGCTTGTCCTGAACGCAGCATCGTGCAACAAAATCAAATCATGTCCTTTCTCATAATTATTAGACGTAGAAGAACTTTAACTCAACAGAGTTTCTCCAGGATTTGTTTAACCGTGGTGGTGACCTCTCATGTGGGGGTTTGACAAAATCTGGTTGTCCTCGAAACATTTTGGTTGTCCAAAAAATATCTCAATAAAAATATAATTTAATAAGTAGGTTATATTGTTCTGAATACAAATGTTGTCAGTCAGCAGGTTACTGACTACTACTTCCTCGTTCTCCTCCTCATCCTCTTTGAAATAGAGATAAAAAACCAACATCCATMAGCTTTCTGCTTACAGGTCCAACATTTTTATTTAAATAGGAGTAAACTGTGTACTTATTTAAAAGTTACAGTTTAGTGTTCTTAGGACTGAAGACTTCAGGAGGAAAGAAGTTTTTAAACATTTTTCTATCATTTTAGTGTTTTTAACTGAGGAGCTTTGAAATATTTATTTAAAATAAATTATAACAGAGGAAGTTCTCTGTACAGAAAAAAAATATTTTTACTGTTTTTTAACCAAACTGACAAGTTTCTCCAGTAAAGTTATTGTGTAATTTAAAGTCATTGAAACACCTGGTTAAATTTAGAAGATATTATGATTAACTACAAACATCTGAAGCTGACTCAGAGAACTCTGTGCTTTTAGAAAAAATAAAAGTCAAATGTAGACACGTCTTTAAAAGACCCTCCTCCTCATCCTCCTCCCCACCCCGCGCAGCTGCAGTCAGCGTACCTCCACCTCATCCGCGTCGCGTGATTAATACTGATTTTTTTGAGCAAATTTTAAATTTTTGACGCTCATTAAACACGTAAAACGTCTGAAGAGGTTGACGTGTATGAACTCCCGGGCTGGTTGGAGCCGAGCTGCNAAGATCAGCAAAACAGTAGCTACAATTAAAATAAACATAGTAGCTAAAGTTAGGATCAGCTGAAAAGTAGCCAACTGCTAAGATTGGCAATTCAGTCATTAACGGCTAAAATAAGCAAACCAGTAGCTAAAAAAAACCCTAAAAAAAATAGCTAAAGCTAGTAGCAGCGTAATGGTAGCTTACAGCTAAGATTGGCAATTCAGTCATTAACAGCTAAAATAAGCAAACGAGTAGCTAAAAAAAAACTAAAAAAAATAGCTAAAGCTAGTAGCATCATAACGGTAGCTTACAGCTAAGATTGGCTAATCATTTGCTAAAACTCAAGATCAGCAAAACAGTAGCTGCAATTAAAATAAATGTAATAGCTAAAGTTAGGATCAGCTGAAAACTAGCCAACTGCTAAGACTGGCAATTCAGTCATTAAGACCTAAAATCAGCAAACCAGTAGCTAAAAAACATAGTAGCTAAAGCTAGTACCAGCACAACAGTAGCTTACAGCTAAGATTGGCTAATAAATTGCTAAAACTTAAGATCAGTAAAACAGTAGCTACAATTAAAATAAGCATAGTAACTAAAGCTAGGATCAGCTAAGCAGTAGCTAACGGCTAAGATTGGCAATTCAGTCATTAAGTCCTAAAATCAGCAAACCAGTAGCTAAAAAATCTAAAAATACAAACAAAAACATAGTAGCTGAAGCTAGTAGCAGCACAACAGTATCCAACAGCTAAGATTGGCTAATCAGTTGCTAAAATTCAAGATCAGCAAAACAGTAGCTACAATTAAAATAAATGTAGTAGCTAAAGCTAGGATCAGCTAAGCAGTAGCCAAAAACATAGTAGCTACTGCTAGTATCACAACAGTAGCTTACAGCTAAGATTGGGTAATTAGTCATTAAGACCTAAAATCAGCAAAAAGTAGCTTAAAGTAGCTTAAAAAACTGTAGTAGCTTAAGCTAGTAGCAGCTCAATGGTAGCTTACAGCTAAGATTGGCTAATCAGTTGCTAAAACTTAAGATCAGCAAAACAGTAGCTAATTAAAATAAACATAGTAGCTAAAGCTAGGATCAGCTAAGCAGTAGCTAACAGCTAAGATTGACTAAACACTCGTTAAAATAAAATAAAAACAAAGCATTACTTAATGCCTAAGTTCAGCTCATCAGTAGCTAWCATTAGCTAGGATCAACACAACAGTAGGTAAAATATAATATTGCCAAAACAGTAGCTAATGCTAAAAATAGCACAACAGTATCTAAGAGTTGAAATTMGCAGAACAGTAGCTGAAGTTAGCAAAGCAGAACCTAAAATCTAAAATAATCAATAAAGCAGTAGCTCAAATTAAAAATTAATATAGTAGCTAAAAGCTAGGATCAACTCTACAGTAGCTAACAGCTAAGCAGTCACTAAAACCTAAAATCAACAACACTAGCTATAATTTAAAAACAAAACATTAAATCAAAGCTAATTTTAGCTAAACATTAGCTAAAATTAAAAATGTGCACAACTAAACTAGGATTAACTGAACAATAACTAAGATAAAATTGTCAAAACTGTAGCTAAACAGTAAAAGTACCTGTCATAAACACAAAACAATAGCTAAAACAATTGGCAAAGTTTTAGGTAAAGTCTAGCATTAGCACATCAAAAGCTAAAAGCTAAGCTAACATAACAGTAGATTAAAGATTAGTAGACTGAAACTGTAGCTAGATGCTAAAAAAGTAACTAAGTTAAGATGAACATAACAGTAGCTATAAAATGAAACAAAGCTTAAAGCTAAAATTCTTAATATTATTTTATTTAAATGAAACAGAATAAATTTCAATGTTTCTTAAATTTAAACAAGACAAACATAAAAGTCAGATCCCATGTTTGAAGGAGCTGAATGATAAT